CCTAGAAAGCCTTATACTGCAACTTCCTTAAGATTTCAAAAGTTTTAAATCTTTCTCAACCCACTTAAAATGTTTCTCTATATAGTAGTTACATTGCCACGTGCCATTTTATGTTATTAGCCGCCTTCAAAATTTTAGGTAACTTTACTGTTACTTTATGTACTAGAATAATTCTTTTATGAATCTGCAGCATATAATGCTTCAGATATAATGGTTTATAATGCAGTGCCCGAAGAGGTATACTAAAATTCTTAGTAAGGAAGCGGGCATCCTTCCAAAATCAGTACCTAGGTGTATACCTGATTACAGTGTTTCAAAAGTGCAACTCCAAGTAACATTGTTATTTTAACAGAGTCAGAGTTATTGATGTGCAAGCTTTGCAGCATATAAACTTGGCAATCATGCAAGCTACCTGGGGAAATATAAAATATCAGTAAATAAGAATTTGGGAGCCGCTGTATAATACACATTGACAGAAGGAGTTAAAGCAAAATAAGAGTTGACTGAACAATGAGATATACACTCATATTTCAGGACTAAGGATTAATGCTATATTTCTGGATCCAGCTAAAAGTTATTAAGGAAGCAAAAGGGGGATACAACTAGTGGAATTGTTGTAGAAGGCAGGGCGCATGAATTTCTTTTGAAATTTTTAGGACCTGCCTCTGTCTGGAAAATCCAATGATTGAAGACTTCCAGTCTCTATCTTCTGGGTCAAGAGTCTCCAGGAGATACGATTTGTATTGAATTACAAAGATCATAAACCTCTCTGGGCTTCCACCATACTTGTCAGGCAAAGAACGGAGGGGGTCATAAAGTGGTGACTGAAGTTGCTTTTGCCACCATTGTTGCTACAATTCCAGATAGAATTGGTGTGACAGTCAGTGGGAGCTGGCTATGATCCATGTTTATTTGGTACAGTACTTTTAGGTAAATAATTTGTGTTTATTTCTAATAACTACAGTGGCCTTAGCTTAACAAACTATACAGACATCTCTATATTAAGCTTTTTACAGTTTCTTAACTGTCTTGATCCCCCCTTTCCTCATTTACACTGGTGTTCCTTATCACAACCTTGATACCGCTTTAGTACTTTTGTGGGCTTGCTTTTAGCACAGGGAGAAAAACAGAAACGGGGGAAAACATGAATGCTATGAGCTTCTTATAATTGTAGCACTCTGTCAAGCTTTCTGCCTTTTCTGAATTGTGCTGTCTGTCAACCATCTGGCTAGCAAACTCAAAATCAAGGAACCTGCAAGTGCCATTAAAGATAAACTTTATTGAATACACATCTTGGAACTGAAGAAGCAAAACCAGGTCTGGTGTTCCCGTGTGAAAAGTTGCCTAGTTAACAATAGTTTTCCTTAACCCACACCCACTGGGTGTTCACATTGCCCAATCATATATCTTTGATTTGTTACGAAAACAGTCCACTTCTCCATCCGACACCTGCGTTAGTGACCTCGGCATTCTTGTAGGCTCTCGCGGACTGTGGACAGCTTCTTGGAATCCCGTTTCTTCCCTATGCTTTCTACCCCTCCCCCCCATTTCTATGGCAAGTTGAGTAGGGATAGAAGTTAGCAGGCATCATAGCGATTCAACTTTGACACTGTCATTTCTGTCTGCTTTGTGGACCTCTCTTTCAGATCTTGCTTGCTTCTGCAGATCTTCATCTGCAGGTTCCTCTTCCAGCTGTGCCTGGTTTCGCACAGCATGTCCAATTCATATAGGACCCATATCATACCAGCAATGTCTGATAAAACCAACAGCCCATTGCCTAATATTTTTGCCCTTTTACATATTTGTGCTTACTTTGAGGTGTCTTACTTAGGCAGGAAGCTTCTAAGTGTCTAGATGAGAGTTTGCCCTCAAGTAGAAAAGAACTTCTTTAACTTCACCTTGCTACAGTATAATTATTTTTACTGCATTTTGGGAAAAGTACATAGCTCTGAAACAGCACAGAAGTTCTTGTTTCAAAACAATGAAGGCAGATTTTGTATTTTATGCAACAGTTGCTTGCTAGGAAGTACAAATTCTCTATTTATAGAATTTTGGATTTACATAGAATACTCCAGAAGTGATTGGTATACAGTATATATATATTTGCATTTTCTTAGATCAGCTTTAATGCATTAAAAATTGATAAAATGTTTTTTTTTACTTTTGAAAATAAACTCTTCCTTTCTTTTCTTCTTTCTCCATTCTCTTCCCCCATCCCATGTTTATTTTAACCCATCTTATTTCCATTTAATGTATTTAGAATTAAATACAAAAGGATATTATTATTCTCTAATACAGAGATCCCCAACCTTTTGGGCACCAGGGACCGGTTCCGTGGAGAAAGTTTTTTCCACGGACCGGAGAGTGCGTGTTTTTGTGTGCCTGCATCCCACAGATGAGTCTTTGCTTGTTTGTGAGGACCGGTTGCTGGCATGCCGCAGCCAGGTACTGGTCCACGTACCGGGGGTTGGGGACCCCTGCTCTAACACCAAGCACATTTCAGCCAGTGTATTTGCTATAATAAAAACTGAGTAGTGTAAGCTACTAATATTGTATCTAAAGAATAGTTTACTCGATTTTCCAATATTATGTTTAAATTCAAATAATATGGAAATGCTTTTAATATTTGCGGAGCTAATGATGAATTTTGTGTTAGCAATTCCTCAAATGTATTTTGGAAGGATGGAGAGAAAAGACAAAAATATGAACTTTTGACCTTTCTTAAATGTATGTTTTTTGCCTAAAAATTATCTTAAAGGTGGTTATCTTTCACTGCCTTCACTATTTAATCATACTCCATCCATCTTTCCTTATCCAAAAAACCAAAATTTATGCTCTTTTTTTGTTAAGTGTGTTTGCCATTTTTTGAAATCAGTATGAAATATTGGATTCACAAAAATCATAAATTTAGACCTGTGAATACGACTAATCGAGGACTTACTCGATTGGCATTGTCCCCTGTTATTTTGACAGGCATGTAATTTTTATTTTTTTTATTTTACAGAATTGAAAGCATCCAGAGAATCCTGACTTTGAGTGAGAAATGACAACTGCCATAGTTAAATGGCGAAGCCAGATGTAGTCCAATTACCAATTTGAAGGTGTGATTATAATAACGTATGTGTCTGTGTGTGGGTCCTTATACACACCTACCAACATATTGCTGCAACCATTCAAATTGGTTGTTGCAAACTTCAACATTTTTGCGATTTATGAAAGTTATCGCAAGCACCAGCATAGCAACCTGACAGCACGCGGACCAAAAATCCATGAAGTACCATCTGCTGCTAGTGGTCAGCCTTCCAAATGATCTGCAACAAGTGAAGAAAAGAATTGCAAAAAGTAAACAGAGCTATACAGTCTCTGAACAGAGTTAATGGCCCCCGAACATCTAAGAAAGTGATAAAATTTGAGCAGCAAATAGAGTGATATTGTCATTCCCAGAGGAGGAATTATGTGACATTATCATGTCTTTTGCTGTATTAGAATTGGAGTCACTTGGATTTAATACGTTTGCCAATTAAGAAGTGACAAATAATTTTACAGTAATGATTAAAGAAGAACAAGCTAAGGGGCAGTGGGAAGACTCTCAAGGTTGACCTTTGGTTTTCATACTTGTATTAAATTTGACAATGGAGCTTGCTATTTTTCCATATCTGTTCCTTGTTAACATGGTACAAATACAAATAAATATTTGATCATCGACATTACTCAAAGCTTTTGGAACATTTTAAAAATACACTCCACTGCCACAAATGTATTTGTTGGAATTATGCATTTGAGCTCTAAAGAAGCCCAATAAGGAAGGAGCCTGTTGAAGAACCAAGGGAGCAACGTGGGCAACAGCACAACAAAAGAGAAGTTGGATTTTTTTTTTTCATTAGCCCAACATTTATTCTGAACTGGCCATTTTGCCTTCCTTTTTTTTTTAACACACGATTAGTAAACTAAATAATCTGCTTTGAATTCTGATTTGTGTTTTAGCATTGAGGATATAGACTTTCCAGCAAAAGGGGAAAGTCAACAGCCCTCTGTCTTGGAGAAGGCTTCATAAGTCACCCAGGCAAACTTTCCCGCTTTAAAACCTTTCGAAAGGTTTTAAAAAGTTTTAAAAGAAAACACCTGCTAAATGAAAAGACAGTTTTGCTTTTACGCCTGTGCGCGGCAACAGTTTGTGAGAAAGCAGGCAAGGCAGCTTAATAAATTGGGTCACCTGCGAAAGTGGCAGGAATGCCACCGGCTGCCAAAGAAACGGGACTTCCTTTGGATTGCGAACGGTCTGGGTGGAACAGCGAGCAGCTGAGTTTAGAAAGGGCTTTTCCATCCGGCCTGGCACGTTGCTAGCTGCACCGAATTCTGGCTTGTGGTCTTGCACAGTCTGTGTGCCTTTTCTCTCCCCTTTATGCAATCTTTCTCAGCTTTAGCAGCAGATGTTTTGGCCTGGTGGGAATAACATGCCAGAGGGTGGATTTGGGGAAAGATAAATGAATACGCACCATGTTTGCAAGTCCGACTGGAGGAAATCTTTTTAAAGCCTTAAGTTACTTGAAAACCTACACTTCTGCAAATTTTTGTCTCTGGAATTGTGTAATGCTATACTGGAAATCTCAGGCCGCATGGTGGTTCTATCCAATTGAGCAAAAAGACGGCTCGCCATTTCTTTGGGCTTCTCTTCTGCAGTAGCTGTTTCTCCAAAGGACAAGTGTACCCCTCAGTCCACTGACTCCGAATCAAGATGAATCTGACTGATTTTCATTTTTTTAAGTGTTACATTTTCTTAGCCAACTGTCATCATCTTTTATAAGGAAATTTTTCACTATGCATTTGGTGGATATTTATAAAAACTGATCTTCTCTTCTGCTTCAGCCCCCTCCCCCCCCACCTCCCGATTCTGATCTGTCTTAAAACTTTTGGTCCTATCAATAGAAACTACAACTACAAAGAGATCTATTTATATTTGCTGCACTAGACATAGTACTTTTCTTATGTCAAAAGGGAAAAAATACAACAAAGCATGTACGCAGCAGTGGAACATGGGCCCGTTCTCTTCAGCGATTCCAACATCCTCTGCCTCTCGTGGAAAGGCAGGGTTCCAAAAAGTGAAAAGGAGAAACCTGTATGCCGGAGGCGATATTACGAAGAAGGCTGGCTGGCCACAGGAAATGGCAGGGGAGTAGTAGGCGTTACCTTCACTTCCAGCCACTGTAGAAAGGACAGAAACACACCCCAACGAATCAACTTTAATTTGAGAGGCCACAACAGTGAGGTGAGTAAACTCTCAGCTGCTAATGTTCAATATAGGAAGTAGAACACTATCATCAAAACACACAGACAAAGTGGATAAAGGACAGCACTTCGAATGCTGTTAAGATAGTTACATGGGTTGAAGATTTTCTTTGGCTCGTTAAGATTTATCCCCACATACAGAGTCAAGTACAATTAAATGGGTTGGGAGTTGCTATGCTATTTCTACTCCTATATTTTTAGGTGTTATAACTTTCGTGGTTTTTTTTCTTTCAAGAGAGCTGGTTGAAAAGTTAAACTATGATTAACATTAGAGTAATCGTTATTTAAAATAACATAAGTTCAAAACCTATTTTCTGGAGTTGGCTTCTTTAATTATCATGAATGTTTGCAACACGCTGAACTATGGTTAACTAAAAGTGGAAAGGAAATGTCCACTGTAAATGGGATAAGAAGCTGTTACTTGAACTACTAAAAAGTATGTTAAAAGAAGAGGCAACAGTGAATGAAACCTGGTTGGTTTTTAAGTAATGGAAATTTATTTTTATGGCAATAGGCATATGTTCAACATTCAGATGTGTACAGACTGGAATTCATAGGAATTCTGCAAGTTGATATCATAGCAAATCTCAAGGATGGCTAGATGGAAAACTAGAATAAATATGATGGTTATATAAGTAGATGTGATTTATATATATGGTTGGTTAAAGCAGAGGTGTCAAACTCTCAATGTCACATGACGTGTCGCGACATATCGCAACTTTTTTTCCATTGCCGGCAATGGGGTGGGTGCGGTTTCGGCACGACACATCCGGTCCTTGGGCCGGCAGTTTGACACCCCTGGTTTAGAGCTTTTAGTTTATATAGGACTACAAACCCTGCCCATACATAATGGGAAGCATTGCTTCTTCACTATGTAAAAAACCAGGTATATACACACCTTCTCCTTTCCTCTCAGTCATATCGGACTTTTTTGCCTGAGCAGAATTCTAGTTTGTTTAAAACTTGAGATGCAGAAGGGAAGAAAATTAGCACACCAGCAGCAGGCAATTTTCAAATAATTCTGAGAAGCTTCTTTTTCTATTTGTCAGATTTTAACTTGCTTCCTTACATCTGAACCTTTGGGCTTACACCCTTGCTGCTGCTTCTGTTAAAATGGCAGCTTGTTTCTGCTTCCTTTTTTAAGGCAAAAAACAAACAAAAACCATGGCTGCTTGGATTGCTTAAAAAATTATTGGGAAGAACCTCATTTAGAAAGGAAGTGTCAAATGTGGATGAAGAAGGTTGAGTCAAATAAAAAGAAGGCAATCAAAATAAGTATGTCAAATTGTAGTCCAGAACCATGGATAGCTCTGGTGAAGTTCTTCCTTATGCATACTGGTATATGTTTTCTTAGTAGGAAACAAAAGCCAAGTAGGCAGTTATACCTAATTGATAATAACACCTATCCATTTCTTCTGGAGAAGCTGAATGATCTTTTAAAGCACCTCTGAATTTTCAGACTTCTAGGAAAGTGGCAAACTGTGATCTCTACCTAGGATATTCTGCCATTCTTATTAAAGAGACTGGTCTGTGTCTATTGTCATGAGAATCATGTCCTGCACTTGGAAAGGTATGAGATGCATAACAGCTTATAATACTTGAGAACCTCGGTCTGAAATTGGGCTAAATGGTAAGGAATATGAATTTAATTTAGAGGGAGAAAGTTATGAGGAATTTGGTAAGGAAAGCTGAGAATGAGGGTAGGTTAAAATGATGGCTGGTTACTCACTGGGGGTACTTGCACGATGAATAAAGAATAAATAGATATTGTTTATATCTAGGGTTAGGAAGAAGTACTGGGGAGTAGATCAAGAAGCAACATACTGCCTTGGGATGGCTAACTGCACTAGATATAGAGCCTGAACTGTTGTATTCCAATGTAATATTGATTTTGTATTAATCATGGTCTGTAAGAAATATAATAATCAAATTTTATAGTTGCTAATCATAGAGAGACTGTGGCAACCTTCTTAGATTTTTGGAGAGGAGGGATACGCATTTGTTTTTAATATGCCATTTCTCATAATTTAACCACAGTTTTTGTTGAGTTCTGTGTGCCTAGAAAATCAATCTGTCAGAGTAAAATGTAGTGTGAGGTTAGGCATATGTCTTCCCAGTGATTCCTGTCTGCATGCAGCATATTTTCTATTTTCAGGAATTAAACCAAAATTGTTAGTGTGCTGAGTAAAACAGAAGAACTAATTTGCTTTTAACTTCTGTTCATTTGTTGAAATTGATTTCGGCAGCCATGACTTGGCATTCATTTCTGCAGGATGCAGTGAGATCCTGGAGAGAGCTAGTGAAGTCTAATTAGTTGGAAATCTGTGGTCTCTCTGTTATGTGTAACTTGTTTGAGATATTTCAGTAAGTGACTCGGCTGAACTATATCTTGCCATTTAATGGCAAACATGGAAGAGTAAAGTTGACCAGAATGTCCCATAGGTGAAAGTTTAGTACAAAAGCTGAATTTCTCATCTGTTATATGGAATAGATATTGCCTTGATTAAACTGACTTACATTACAATACATCACTTGAATAATTAAGAGCCCAAAAATGATTTGCAAAATAACTCCTCACAAACCTGGAATAAACTGATTTTTAGTCATAGGTGAATCTTTTTATAGGATAGGTGTGTGTGTGTGTGTGTGTGTGTGTGTGTGTGTGTGTGTGTGCGTGCGCACGCGCGCCTTAGGAAGAAAGAAAAAGAAAATAAAAAGGCCTTTTCATATTCTGTGTACAAGTAACAATTGGACATTTCGCTCATCTCTTAGGGAGTAACTGGGTGATGCTTGTAAAAGTTTTATAGAAAACAGGATATATATTTTTTTAAAAAGTATGCTATTTCTAGTACCTTAAAACATGCAGGTGATTTTTGTTTCATCTTGCACTTCCACTTATGCTGATAGAATGTCCTTTGATTTTGTAAAACAGAATTTTTTTATTTTATAAAAAGATATGAGCTACAGTGGTATCTTGGTACTCAACTGTTTTGAAACTCGTCAATTTTAGTACTCAGTGCATTTTGACACAAAGATTTTGTCCTGGTATTCATTGTTTGTTTGGTACTCAACGTACAAGCCAGAACTTGTTGCTGTCTTGCGACAAGTAATGACTACATCATCCCTTATGGGAAAAGTTCATTTGGTACTCATCGTTTTTGGTATTCATCATGCTTCCCGGAACCAATTAATGGTGAGTACCAAGGCACCACTGTAGTGAATATTTTAAAATGCACTTAGTGTGTGAGTTGCATTTACTGTACTTATTTGTTTCAGTTTGCATAGTGCTACAGCTGTTGCTATTACCTTTTGATAGTAGTGCTGGGCACTATCTTGTAGTAAAAAGTCAAATATGGAATTTACACTTTTGGTGTAACATATCAGGAGGAAACCAAGCATTTCTCAAAAAATCAGTCTATGCTTATCTGAAGTAGACAATGTTCACCTGCCTTACTGTGGTAAGTTATATATTTTTCCCACTTAAATATTTCTGTATTGCAGAAGCACAATTCTATCACCACTAGGTTTTCTATAATTGGAACCGAACTTAATTAAACTGCTTTGGATATATGTTAGAAAATTTTAATTTCTCTATTGGTGAAAAATAAATCAGAAGCTCTCACAGTTGACTGCATTTTAGCTGATTCAAATAACTTCTTTATATTTATATCAAAATATTTACAATACCATACATTCTTCTTTACAGCAACATAGCACAATGAAGACTTCTTACAGAGTGATACAGACACAAAACCAGACTGAACAAATAATTCAGCTCCTAACTCAATACCTTTTTTGCACAGACTCAGTAGCACTTTCTTCACATTGGCTGACTGAGTTACCACATGACTCTTCCTGCTCATGAATATTCCAACAATATAATTGAGCAGAGCTATTAAGTCCTAACCTTTCTATGTATTTATCTTTAGGTTGCCATTTCACATTTAACACTAAACCAGGATTCTTAAACAATACATTATTAAATTATAATGGCCTTTAAATTCATAATGAATTAACACATAACTGTAAATTAGTTCATCCGTACTTCTAAACCCATGTATTTTCTTTAATGTTAAAATAGCAAGTTCACTGGTGTTTGTGTGTCTGTATGCGTAGGTGTGCAGATATCTTTCCATTATATTTTAAAACATAAAATAGAATAAAAACTGTGCTTTACAGATTTAAAATCTAGATTCATACCATAGAAAACCAATGGAATAAGGGATAAAGACAATAAATTTGGCTTTGTTTATTAATGTTATTTTTAACTGATTTTAACATAGGTATTTTAGTGTTTTCTTGAATGCCAAACACAGTACAGTTCTTTCAGATGTTTTGTTTTTGTTTTAATCTTTGATTGTTCAAAGATTTATATACAGTATAAATCAAAAACTCATGGGATAGAGACTAGAGTAGAGTAGTGGAAAAGTAACCTTAAATCTATGCAGTATCTGTGTGGTGCTACTTTGAAAACCTTTGTTTAATAGGAAATTACTGTTTACATACAAGCCTACTAGATCTTCTTCCATATCGGCCTATTAAATCTCTATAATGAATACTCCTCATTTATAGAATAATTTTCCAAATTATTTAATTTTTCAATCATAAAACTCGAAGTAATTGAACCTGTACTTCATTCTCTGTGAATCATAGTTATACTTCATCACAGGGGAAATGCATTAAAACAATGTATTACAAATCTTATTACAATTTAATATATGAAAACAATGTGGCATATTAAAAATCTTCCAAATAAAATAAACACTTTAAATAAAACAATCCCCCAATTTCAGATGTAGAAGTGCAGTCTTTGATTTATTGCATATAATCCAGAGGGACATTTTCTTTTTGTTAAGCTGCTTCAAGAAGATGTTTAAAAATAGGATGAAATATTGTTAATAATGCCACATACATTCAAATTATATTGGTTATTATTTTGTTTAACAGATTCCCAGTCTTACTGGACAAAAGCCAACATTA